GCCGCAGCGCGGCCGGGGCGCAAAACCTGCGGCTGCTCCGGCCTTTTCCCAACTTCTTCAGCGCCTGCAGTGAAAGGACTTAAACCGAGTTTGCACAACCCCCGGGGGAACCGCGCTGCGTTCTTAAAGTCGCGTTTCCGAACGTGCGAGCTGCTTCGGCAAGGCGGGTAAAGCCCGCAAAGCCATTTCCTCGCATCTGGACCGAATTTGCCATCTCCTAACCCCTCTTGCTGAACTTAGCAAAAGCACTGAAGAGCAGCAGAAACCAACGAACTTAAAGCATTATGGTCAATCTGTTAGCAAGGGATTCAGTCCTTACTGAAAGTGAAATCTGTAAGGTGGAACTCACTTTGGGGATGCACGAAAGGGAAAAAGGAAATGAGTATTATGTCCAAAACCTAATATAAGGGGGAAAAAAACCCCAAACAACCACAAGTAAATAAAGATCTGCTTCCATAATGGTTTTCAAGTTGTTGAGAAATAAAATGGGAGCCTACACTGAGAAAGGAACAGGCTGTTTCTGCTATGTGATATTTGAAAAACACTCACATCTGTATCACCAAAATGGAGACTTTTGATCAGATGCAGGCATAAGTTGAGATTTTGCTCTCACTGACTTATCCTGAGAGCATTTCATTAATTAAAGTTACAAAAAATAGTAAGGTGTGCTTACAGCTTTATGAACACTTTTATCCCTGGGAGTTTTGTAATAGACTTGAATGGAGCCACTGTTTCCCTGTTCTGGATGTTACCCTACAAGATGTGACACAGTAAAGACTTTTATATGGAATAAAGGTGCAATATTTTCACTTTCACAGACATTAATTATCTCTCAGTTGCATATCTGGAACGTAACATGGAATGAGAATCTGCTGATCTGTCAAAATGTCAAAAGAAAAGATTGTACATCTTTAGGAAAGAGGAAGAAAGACCAGCTTCCATCTGTTTGCCAATGCAGCCATTAATGTTCAGCCACAAGCTCTGTGCAGCCGTAAAATCTCTGATCTGTTTGTTCCCAGGGGACTTTAAACACAGTCACCAGACAAGTGCAGGAAAAACAGTTCACATCACACCACACAATTACTCTTGGGGCTGATTTCAGTAGGGATGGACTCCATACCCTCTGCAAGGGATCAGCCTTTTCCAGGGCCCCTCAAGCCCCTGGTTTTGGGAGCCATTGTAATGGCTTAGACTTTGAGTCTGCCTGCTTTGGTTGAACCACAGTTAAATAAAAACCTGTTATCAGGCTCGTGGATGAGAAAATCTGGCTGCTTAGGGCAGTTTGAGCCATCCAAGGTGGACATAAACAAGGACAACAAAAATCTGTGGCAAATCAGCTCTGAGGAGAAGGCAGAGTTGTGTGCAGAGATCAGCCAGAGAAACATGACCCTGGGCTGTGAGGAAAGGATGTAGATTCTTCCTGTTTAACATCAGACATTGAGTTTCAGTGCTTTTCCAGGGGACCTCCAAGAGACTGATCCGGAGACTGGCAGAGTTATCAGGGACATCAACAACCCGTGTCAAACCTTTCTCTGAGGACAATGAAGTGCAGGTAGAATTTGGACTCTGTCTTGCTGGACCGTGTGAATCCCTTCCCAGGTCTCTGGAAGAGAGAATAGTAGAACCTGGTGTTTCTTGTGTGTTTCTAGAAACAGTAAAGTTTAATTGTTCAAACAAGGCTGCTAACAGATGCTAATGGATTGCAGAGAAAGCAGGAGATAGGAAGTGGTGAGATATTCAGCGCCAATTTGTGCTAATGAGAGCTCATTAAGAGGTTCTTGAGATAAAGGTTCTGTCAGGAGGCAGTCACTGTGGCTGAATTTAGTGGTTTGTGTAGAAGATGGGTTAAAATCCAAGAACTATGCCCCGTTAGGACAAGAGTGATTAAATTTTAAATGGCACTGACTCGGAGCCACTTACCGAGGTGAGGAAAAGGAAGGAGGTCCTCAGCCAATAGTTTGGGTTCGCAGGCTGCAGTGAGGGAGCACAGTCACAGTCCCGAGAGCCTCGCAGAGGTTGTGACCTCAGAGGGAAGAACCATTGCGCTGAGACGGCTCAGCAGAAAGCTGTGAAAGTGATTTAAGAACGTGAACTGAGAGCTTTAAGATATAGTTCCATGAACAATCATAAAAATAGCCTTCCAAGGGAATGAGTCAGAGTACCCAATACTGCTGCTTACAGCCTTGCACTTCATGCTGAAACTTGAAAGAGATGATGATCACTCTGCAAAGAGCAGCGATTTTTCCAGGGGTAAGATTTTTCCAGTAAGGCAAGATCATGGATAAATTGCTTATCACGATGGGCAAAGCAGATGGGCCAGAGACATGACAGTTGCAAAATACTTTTTTTTTTTTTTTTTTTTTTGGAAAGGTCTCCTGATTTCAGATGCTGTGGCTTGCCAGCAGGGTTCCTTGTAAGGCAGAATGTGGTCTCTCCACCACATTTTCCTGTATTCCTGGATGGTAGGACTCTCCTCAAAGGCATGTTCACAGCTCACAGTGGCCCTGGAAAGAAGTTCCAGTGTCTGCACACAAGTCCACATAAAGACTAAAAATGTCAGTTTAATGCCCAGAGCTTCTTTGGGACTAACTTGTATGCCCAGACACGAAACAGTAACAGTCAAAGTGCACATCAGGCTCCAAGCTGAGTTCTGCTTATCTGAAAAAAAAGTGCTCTCACCATCTTCCAACATTTAGCCACGCTTTGTCTTTCCTGAGAGAACAGAGAACCTCTGTAGCTTCTAAGGAAAGAAAAAAATATAAACTGGAAATGAAGTAATTCAGTGCCTAAAATTCTCACACTGCATCCATTGCGCAGTCATTTAAAGTTCTTATATATTTCATCACAATATCTCATGATAGTAAAATCCATCCCTGTTTTAGAGGAAAGCCTTTGGGGTTTGAATTATGCATACACAGCATATACAGCACAATGCAACTCTTTCCCTTACCCAAAGGGGGATCACCTGGAGGTCACACAAGAGGTTGGATGGAGGCCTCCAATATTCAGAAAAATAGTATTTTGGCTTGGTTAATAAGTCCTTCTAAAAAAATATTCTGCAGGGGAGCAGGGGAAAACTAACTGGTATCTTTAACTGCTCTTCAGGTGATTATATTGTTTGTAAAGTGAAGCTTATAGATAGAAGCATTTTGTTCAGACATGTTGAGAGCACTAAACTTAAGCATGAGAAATGAAAAGGGAGAGATTTGGGAGGCTGCTTAAAGTACTTCTCATTTGGTAAATCCAAATGATTATATGAACCAAATTACTTGTCAATACTATGCAAAGGAAACAGCTCATTGTTCCTGCTTTTGAAGTGGACAGAGTTTAATATGTGGCATATTAAACAGTGGAAACTGTAATGACTGGAAGGATGCACATTCCCTTTGTTAAAAATTATGGATCAGGGCTGGTTTTGCTGTTGTATTTCTGTGAGTGTTACTGAGTCAGCAGTGGCTCTGGAGCTCTACTCTTTACACTGATGCTGTAACAGGTATTGTGAAAGAAATGCCTTTTTTAGTCTAAACTGAACCTTGCAATTTTACCCCTGCAGCTGCAAATTCTCATTTTTCATTGTGGGCTGCAGCTGAGGGCTGTGGCTTTGGAAACACCAAAGATTTGTGAAGAGCTGTTAACTTTGTAAATTATTGATGGTAAATAAATATGTGACCAGTGAAATATTCAGATAAAAATGAAAGTTTCCTTCACACTCTGAGATGGTTTTTTCATTCAGTGAAAAAGCTTCTGGAATGCTATCACAATGTGAAGTCAATAAATAAATTGACTGTGAAAGCCTGCATGAGCTCAAACACATGTGAAGATGTCTTTGGGTGTTTTCCATGATCTGTCCTTTTCCATTCTGTCTCCTGACCTGTCTGATGAAGTCAGATATCAACATTAGAGGATCTGTTCCAGCAGCCCAGTCAGCGCTGGGCATCTGCTCAGTGCTGTGGGTGACCTGTGCTGTGCTGGGAGGAGCCCTGGTTTCATCTCAGTGCTCCACTTCCCTGCAAACCAGTTCATGTTCTTGAAAGTTTTTCTCCTTGTGACTGGCAAGACAGTCTGTTGTAGCACTGAAAGGGCAGGATTTTATCTTACCTCACCTTAATGCTCTGAAAATAGAGCATCAAAGCTCAGCTCAGTCAAATTTCCTTCAGAATCCATGTGGAGAGTTACTACAAAGGAGTTAAATAGCAGATACCTTCTCATTTATATGCTTCTTTTAAACTGGACACCTAATTTTTTCAGAGTTCCTGCTATGAGGATTCACTTCAGATGTGGCTGTGCAATACAGTGCTGTGAATTCAGCCTTTTGGAAATATTACTGACCATTTATTGTCCATAAGTTCATGAAAACCATTTATAAAAAACTTGTTAGTTTAAGAATTGGAACAATTTTGCCAACTTGAGTAGTATTTGTATTATTAAAGAAACTGATTTGTAGAGGCAAATATTGGAAGGTTAATATTTTGCATGTTTTTCACAAATTCAAGTGTTTATGGAAATACTTTGGGGTTATTTAATATTATTTCATATTCCATTAATAAAGGTATTTGACACAGACAATTAATTTAATTAGTTCCCACTCCACAGTCGGCCTGGAATCTTTTCATGGACTTCTCTGGGTTAGCTCCAGCTTCACACAACACAAGCAACAGAAAAACACAGGCAGGGCTGTGCACAGTTATGTTACAAGCAGGATAAGTCTTGAGTAAAAGGCTAAATATACCCATTAGGGAAAATCTGGATCTGGACTCACATCTGAACTTGTGGGAGGAGCTGAATACTAATTGTTCTATAAATATTTAATATAGCTAGCACTTTCCCATTGTGTAGCATCCCAAAGGAGGCATCTTTCCTTCTCTCACACATACACACCCGTCCTCTTCTTTCATTAAGGGTTCCCAAATACAGTAATTAGAACAGTCATCAAATTTGCATCTGACTGATCAACGCCACTCCAGCTTTATTTCAGTGTAATTGCTGCGGCCTTGGGTGCACTGGTGAACATGGCCCAGGGCTCAGGTAATTATTGTATCAGAGACCATTTAATGAGGAAAAATCAAGTGAGACACTTTGTGGGATAGGAACCCACCAGGAAATAACCTGCTTGTAAACATAACAGGACCTTGTTATTTTTCCTAATTTATACATTACAATTATCAAAATTAAAAAAAAAATAAAATTCAAATGCATGAATTCAGTGTTTACCTTTGTCCTCTGATGCCAAGACAAGCCACAGTACAAACACCAGCACATCAGATAAATGATATCCCAAAAGACTCTGATTTGGGATAGAATTGCCATGCTATGCTCCATGGCTGTCAAAAATCCAGGTGCACTGTTGTCACGGGGCAAAAGCTCCTTGGAGGGTAGTCAGAGGTTGTAGGAACTTGTGGATTTCTGTGAAGGTGAGGGGCTTTTGTTCCCCTTCAGCCATAGAAACTGCAGTTGTAGAAAAATATTAACAGCTCCTTGCCCATGACTGAGGAGTCTGACTGCCCACTGTTCACCCCCACAGAGCTTCCATGCTAAATGGTTGTCTTGTTTAATAATTTCAGTATTTGCCTTTTACACTTCACGTGTGAGAAATTCTGGTAACTCTCTCGTGGAATTTGTAGAGGGCTCCCAAAAAAGTTGAGCAACTTTCAGCCCTTGCTCATGCCTTGGATTCTTTTTAGGAGTCTCCAGTAATCAAGTCTGGTTTTTCTACAGGAGCAAAAGCTTGGTTTTCTGCCATTTTTCTCTCAAAACCAGAATTGTGTGTCACAGTTCTTCCTCTTTTCCTCCAAAAAATGGGAACAGCTGGACATTGTAATCATCCCTTCTCACTTTTAATACAAAGTTTTCATTACAGATTGTGTGTATTTCCCTTAGCTTTGACCTGCCCTCCTCTGTCAGCATAGTTTGAAGAGCCACAGGTAAGGAACAACTGCCTTTGAAAGGCAAGGATTTGCTGGAATATTCTGAGAAATGTTCTAATGAACTCTCTCTGTTCAACATTTTGATGACTGTTACAGAAACCTGATTCTAGGAATAAATTAGATGCTGTGGTGGTCAATCACAACAAGTTCTTTTAAAAATCTGCTACAATTTATGGCACAATGACCAAATCTATCATATAATGGCTGGGTGTAATTTACAATGTAATCTACTGAAATACAGCCACCCTAATAGCAAGCCATATCATTCACTTTGGAAAGAAACAACCATTTGCCAGGGGGAAAAAACCCCCCAAACCCCCCAAAAGATATCAACAAAGAGAACGGGATTTCTTTTCAGCCTTCCCCTACTTCAGGGTCTAATCTTGCCCCTGTGAAGTGCACAGCAGAAGTCCAACAATGGAAAATCAGAATTCTGAAAACAGACATTGTTAATCAGGACTGACACCACTAAAAATAATGCTATTGTGTGGGGCTGATGCAACCACGAGCCCAAAGCCTGCAGGTAGTTTTGTAGCTGGAGCATTCCAGATTCATGGGGAGGCATGTTCTGAGGGGAAAGAGTTTCAAAGTTGCCATACTTACACCCTTTATTTCCCTTTTTGACTGCAGAATAATCAAGGCTCTGACTTAAACTACATCAGGTAGATCAAAATGCATCTACAGCCTCTTTTTGATGTTCAGTGACAGATGTTTAAGAAGAGTACAAGAAACGGGGCAATTTCAGGGTGTTTCAGGCCCTGGTACCTCCTCCCAGCTTCTCATGATCACCTGTTTGTGATTCAAAATCAAGAAAATTAAGCTGGGGGCACCTGAGAATTCTTCCCAGCTGCATTTGAGCCCACCTTTGGCTGTCTTTAATCACTTTCTTGTTGTGGTGGGTCAGTTTTCCTACTGGGAAGTGTATTCTGTGTGTAGGATTGTGGCTGCACAGACCCAGTTATCAGATCAAACTGCTGGTTATGAGATCAGTCGTGGCACTTGTAATATTAATCTATTCTGATTTTACAGTCATCAGCATTCATCAGGGTCAACAGGAATCCTTCCACTGACCTTAACAGGAGCTGGAGCTGTTCCCAAATATCCTGGAGATTGTGCATTTTTATCTTCTGCAATGGCACAACAGTGATATTTATTGAAACTTAGCAGAAAGAATTGTTGTTATTAGTGTGCCAGGTTAAATATAATTCCATTTCTTTAACGTGGTGTGCGACCATTAATTTACAAGATAGCAGAACAAAGTGGTGACATATAAATCTGAAATTCCAAATAGGGAGATGCACCCCAGTCTCTGAATACCCCTCCAGTGATATTCCTTTCCAATAAAACAGCCTGTCTCCAAAAAAGACAGACATGTTTATTTTATAATCCTTATTTATAAGATGCTGCTTTTTATATCCAGGATAAAATACAGAGGGACTATTGTTGACAAAATGGGGTGGTTGGCTTCTTTTCTATCATGCTGAAATATTTCCTAGGAAAAGAGAATAGGGATGGCAATTTTAGAACCCTTGTGAAGCAGAAGGGAAGGGTGAGCACTGAAAGAGGCATTACTTACTCTTTTAATTGATGAGTTTTCCTGTAGCACTTGCCAGCCCAAAATCCAGGAAATTCTCATGCAATCAGAGCTTTCTGCTCAGTGACACCCAGGAAAATGTTCTTATTTCAGTGTCACAGGTAAAACCTGAGCAGGGAGGGGTTTGGGTGACACTGGGAATAAGACAGCAAGAAACAGTTCATTGCCTGAATCCCCTCCAAGCAAGTGACCAACCCAAGTTTTCATGGCTTATTTTGGCTTAATGGAATTTGTTAGTGACTGCTCCATCAGCTGAAATTGTAGAGGGTCAGAACAGGATGGGACAGAATGCTTATCTGAACAGCTCCACCACACACTGGTGAGCTTTAGCGAGCTGCTTGGACTCTTGGTGCATCTCCAGGTGTTAAAAGGGTTACTTTGAACCTCCCTTGCAAGGGTCTGCTGAAACTGAGAGTCTAAGACTGAGATTGTTCATGGAAGTATTTGGGAGAATCCAAGATACCCGCAGGAAAAAGCCCTCAGAAGTTTAAAAAGCCCAAATCCTCTTTTATCTGGGTATGGACTCTTAGTGTTCTGTTTCAGTCCTTTAAATTGGCAGATAAAGACTTGAGCAGAGCTGAGGATCCTGCCTGAGGAAACTAAGCTTTTCAGGAAGCAGGAAAAGGAAAGCTGCTTTTTTGCTCCACAGGAGCTCTTTGTCACCTCAAAGTAAAAGAAGCAGAAAATTTTTCATTATGCTGATGCTGCAGAAGCAAAAAAGACAATCTGATTTCTTTTTAGAGAAGAAACCTGGTGGCAACAGGAGAGAGTCATCATCAAACAAAAGCATAAGACACAAAACCATTAGAGACTCCTAACACTCACACTGACATCCTGCTCTGGGAGCTCACAGAGCTGCTCAGACATTAGCTAATTACATTTGGCACAATCCTCTCATCTTACATGCAGGCAGACACATTAGGTGGCCTCTTTAGCTGGTATAAAGTTTGGATTTTGGCAGTGTGGCTCGTGCCCTCCAGCTGAGGACAAGCCCCTTTGTTTCCATTTTTTAAATATGTGATATACAAATAAATTTCATTTATTAATGAAGTTTCACAAACTCTGCCTGCAGTTCAATAGAGTGAGGCAGGACCAAGACGAAGGCTCCACCCTCTGTAACCACAGTTCAACCAGAAGCTTCCAAGCTGCTAAATTGAGATTTCTCTTTGTTGGCCACAGGGTAACACAACAGCCCTGACAATGAAACTTGACCCAGATCATGGTGAAACGATCCCAGAACAGCAGAACTGGGGACTCTCAAATCCTGCTGAGGGCTGCAGGAAAGTTAAAAGAAATAGAAGCAAATGGTAGAATTGAGGTTTCAGAGATCAGAAGGAGACCTGATCATCCTGATCTGCCAGAATCACTGCAAATGATTTCTCTGAGCACCACATCAGACCTACAGAGTTTTTGGAGGGAAGTTTTTCCACTTGATTTTGAGATCAAGGAGGAAAAGCATGGACAGGTGAAAATATGACTTCTTTACCTGTACAAATATTAATTTATCACTGCCACATATAGAATGAGAAAAGAAGGAGCACAATAGAACTTTAAGAACTTACTTTTCTTTAATAAGAATTTCTTTGCAAGTCAAAGAAATCCGTGTTCTTGGTTCTTTTCCCTGAGAACCAATTACCTCTTGATAATGAGGGGGGACAAGGTAAGGCCATTAGTCAGTAAAATATTACACATCAGCAGTCACTGTGTTCACCTGGCCTTGTTTCCCCTTATTGTGGCTGAAGGATAATCAGCATTTCTCCCCAGTGGGCCCTAAGGAAGCTTTGACAGCCAGAGAAGCAGCTCATTAAAATCATCAGCTAAGAAAGTCACTGGGTCACCAATTCCATCATCCAGCAAATGTGACCCACCAGGAAATACACATTTGAGCCCAGACAGGTTCACAAATATCACATATTTATCACTGTCTATGAGTTCAGGGGTGTGATTTTGCTGCCTTTTTCTGCAAAGTGATGGCAAACATATGCTGAGGTAATCAGGGGAAAATGTAAAATGTACCTTCTGCTGGAAACCTGGAAAATGCATCGACACTGATGTTAATAAGGCAAGAAGTAATCCATAATCAGGAAATAACTACAGAATGAACTCAATGCCACCCCCACCCCCCCAATCTGAATAGCAAAAATAAAATAATTATTGCAAAAAAAAAAAAAAAGTCTTAAATCTTACTGCTACCCTGTGCTTGGGCTATTTTTGTTTAAAGGAGAGCAAAACTGAAGAGCAGATAGAGACAATGCTGTTTAGATATGGAAATCAGTATATCAGTACTGAGTAAATGCTTCCTATACTGTGGGTGTTGTTAGAGGCGTGTTGCAAAACATCACCACAATACAGAGAGTCTGATCTGGTCGTGTTGGCTGCTAAAACTTTGCCTTCGTAAAGGATAACACTCGATACGTGTAAAATGCAGAATAAACTGCTGCCTCTGAGAGATTTCTCTTGGTCCCGCAGTCAGGGGAACAGCTGCGATGAGAACACAAAACACGAGGTGGCATCGTTGCCATTTTGGTCAGAGGTACCTGGTTACAGTGCACAGAGGTAAACGCTGTAAATGTGCTTTCCTCCCTTCCTTATGTCCTTCCTCGCTGGCCAATAACTTCCAGAACTACAAGAGTTGAGCCCAACTCAAGATCTTGAGAAGGAGTTGTTGTTTTTTTTCAGCGTTGCTGAAGCAAAACAAAGGTATCTGCAGAATTCCAGGATCTGTGACAATTTACAAAGCCTGAGTAGCTCATGGATGCAACGATTGGGAACAACCCCCCTTTTCAGAGCACAAGTTAATGTTCTGTCCTCCAGTGTCCTAACAGTTTATGACAGATGTCACTTACACTGAGGTGGTAAATAAATCAATAATGACATAATAATCAAATGATACTGATTAATAAGCCAATGGTTGTCATAACACCTTTCCCCTGAAGAGTTCAAAGTGTACTGTAAAAAATGAATCTTCATTTTATGAGATCCTAAATTATTTCATCTGGTAACTTTTCAGTGCAGGGATTTCACCCACAGGTGCATGCTCTCCCCATCCTCATCACACAGGGAATCAAGAACTGGGCTCCTCTCACCTCCACAGCTGCAGCAGTTCTGGAGTTCTGGAGAACATACCTGCAGAGCAGCCAGAATCTTAAAAAAGGTGGCTGGGTGAATTTTCAAATCAAAATTCTTCCATATTTTTCCAGTTTTTCTGTACATAATGGTCACCCTTCGCACACTCTGGAAGTCTAGCAAGCAATGCAGGAAACCTTTAGCAGAAAGAACAGCAATAAAAGAGAAGCTTTTGGGAACAGATGCATGTCTGATTAATAACTCCGAGTTTGCCTGGCATTTCTGCCACTTCACAGCCTCCATAACTTCCACAGAAAAAATGTCTCTTTGGGGAATGCACCACTCAGTGTAATTCTGAATGAATCACAGAATGTTTTGGGTTGGCAGGCACCTTTAAAGCGAATAATGTGAAACAGCTTTACTTTATTGGACTTGAGCACCAATTCCCTTTGCTGGGCATTGAAATTAGGGCTTCTTCATTGTTCATCAAATTCTTGATGACAAACTTGGGTATGAAAGGAAATAATAAAACTCCAACAAATGCTTTCATTTTACTATAGATTTGTCCTCTTCATCTTTTCTCTATTTATTTTGTTTGGCCTCTATGGATTTTCCAGTGCAATCAGTGCCTGTTCTGACACACTTTCTGATTGCCTTTACTATCCCTTTTCCCTGTGCTATCATCATTCTCCTCTTTCCATGTGCTGACATAAATCTCACTGATGTAAGTGCTCTGCAACACGCATTTCACTCTGAATGCAGAGATACAGGAGGAGAATTACACCTTACAATAAAAATAAAACTCTTGTGAAAAGACTGCCATTTTTAAATGTTCTGTCTAAATTCTGCAGTGCTGCTTTGACAGTCCTGAAGACTGATGTTCCAAACCTTTCTAGTCTGTGATGACTGGGCTGTGGCTTCCATTGCAAAGGCTGAGGATTTGGCAGCACATCACCAGGAAGAGCTGCCTCCCACCAGTTTAGGATACGTGTTACTGGGATGGAGGAAAGGGGTGAGAAATTTCCTCATTAAACCAGTAGAAAAGGAAACTCATGGTCCTCAGCTTCAGCAGAGCCAGCTCTACACTCAGTAATGTCCTGCTGATGTGGATGTGTAGCCAAATCCTTATTATCCCTGGCTGGATTATCCAGGTAACTCCAATCACATCACACACAGCCCTTTTATAGCCCCTCCATGCACTATTTTGAGAAGGGAAGTTCTGCTCAGTGCATTCTTACACTACACTGCTCATATTTGTTTGTTTTTCTCACTTCATGAGAGAGCCAAGACAAGCAGCACGCAGCAGTCAAGTGTTCCTCTGTGATTCAGCTTCCTTGGCAGGCAGAGCATGGAAAAACCAGCCCCGTTGTAAGCGAGACAAGTGCCTGGGGAAAGAGCCTCTGCCATGGCTTTGTGTCTCCACAAGAGGGGTGAGCAGCCTTGTCGGAGCAGAAACAGGGATTTCACTCCTCACAAACAGCCCTTGGCAGGGCAGGGCTGGCACGGAGAGCTGAACACGTCTGTTCTGTGCTGGCAAAGTCGAAGCTACCCAGGGGTTCTGTGCCTCCTTATCAGTTTTGTCCATCTTCACCACGTTCTCTTGCAGTTCTCATGCCCAGCTGTCTTAATCTTTCCATGTCACTTCCAAAATACTTCATTTGTTTCAGAGGCTGGTGTTCCTGACAATATCACCCTTCCTGCCTGCTGCAAAAATCCAACCCAACCCAAACAACCAAAAACAATTTAAAACTTAAAGTTGTGTTTTAAACATGATCATACTTCTGCAGTTAACTGGGAAGACACTAAGGAAGGCAGAAAAAAAATGAATGTGAAGATCATGTTTTATGTTCAGCCTGTGGGCATTAATACCAGCCTTTGCAGTAGCCTGTATCCATCCCTATCTTACAAATAGATTAAAAGTGTTTACATTTTATATCAATTTTAGGCTGTAGGTAAGAAAATCTTCAGAGTCAAGCTGCAGACGGTGTGTGGGCTGAATTTGTTAATTTTTGTATGAAAAGGATTACAATGTCTGGAATAAATATATCCAATGTATGTGCCCAGAATAGTGATTCAGAAATAACCCCAAAACACTGCTGCAAATATTTAACCTGTAATGTATTTTTTGTACACAGTCATAGAACTGTCCATCATCATTCCTGTATTTTTATTTTAATGTCAAACCACATAACTTCATCTTTAAAAGACCTGAAAACAAAATCTGGTCAAAAGCAAGCTGAGGTGTGTTACAAGAGTTACAAAAACCAGTGTCTTCCTACCTCTCAAGGCTCACTGGGATGTCATGTAAGGATCAAGCTGCTTCTTCACGATCTTCTGCCTCATATAGGTAATGAGATAGATTTGCTTTTAATGGAAGAGCTTTCAGGGCAGCTAAAGCTAGACAGAAAACTAGAACTGACATCCTGTGGTAACTATTTTATGGCAAGCACCAGTGCTGCTCAGAGCATACAGCAAGACTTGTTATTCTCACTAAAAATCTAAATTTAATATAATGTACAGGCGAGTTTTTTTTTATGAAATAATTTGATGTATTAAAGAAAAGGTAAATGATATTGAATTTGGATTGTTATCATCTTTCCCTCCAGACATATCCTGGCAGGGAAGTACCCTCATATTGCATTGGGATGTACTAAAAATGCTGCAAGTTTTCCATGGCCTGCGCTGCTCCTGTGTCAGAAAATGCTCCCTGACATTTACATGCCAAGTGCTTTGCATGGAAAGGGCTGAGTTTGTTCAGCACATCATGTGCTTCAGAACCAGTTCTGTGCCCTTACCCTGCCTTCTGGGCCTCTGCTTCCTTGGTATTACACTCTCATGGTCCTTAATGAATGGCAAACTCACCCTGCAGTTCTTCTAGCAGCAAACCCTAGGACATAACCACCTTTAAAATGATGTACACTGTGCCTTCTCCAGGATGTGAGACATTCTACAGGTGCTGATAAAACACTCTTAATATTACACACTTGATGGGGCTATCCAGGTATAAAATTTATTTCACTTGACCTCAAGGGGAAAAAAGAAAAAGCTCCAGGAAAGTCTGTTTGTAAGAATGGTCTGTCATCTTGATCTTACAGATGTGGAAACCACCACAGAGCTGAGTGATGAGGGAACACATCTCATGTTAGCTGCAAATGTTATAGAGAGACTACTTATTTCTGGTGGAAATAGAAACAATTCCACAGAAATTAGACAGAACATGGCTTTTTTCTACAAAGCTGCTGGAGCACAGGATCTCTTCTGTTTGCAAAGGCAAGATTTATGGAGTATTTTCCAGAAAGTACATACTGCTTGCACAGCAGCAGAATTGTAGCAAAATGGCTATTCTGCCATCCATGCAAAAAAAAACCCCACAAAAAAAATCAAAACCCCACATATTATTTGAATTTACTGAGTGCTGAGTTAGGTTGTTTGGGGAGAAAATAATAAAAAGAAAGGATAATAAAGACATAAACTCTGTTCCGATGAGTTGCTTTCCCTTTTCATTCAGAAACCCATCAGTTAACATACCTGCAGTCCAAACTTCTTAACCACCTTTTAGTTTGTGGACACCTTTTGATACCTCTTCATGTTTTACCTGTAGGGATGACAAAAATATTCTGTAAAATCTTGCCAACTCCGTAGTGATTTCTGTCTCCCTTCCAGAGAGGATGCCACATATGCTGGCCTGAATGAGACATCCTAAAGAAACCTGCTACTTAATATCTCTGAAAATTCAAGTTTCTTCAAAGAAAACCAGATTTTTAGAGAGGTTTCAAGATAGGTACCCAAATACAAATGCACCAAATTAATTAATCAATCACTGTTGAAAAGATAAGCTTTGTTCTTTCAGCTGTGAAAAACCCCAGGCATTAAGTAGAAGATACTTTTTACATTACATGCTTAATAATAATAGTGTATTAGAAAATAAGGTAGATTTGGACAAACTATGAAGAAAGTTTGTTTTCAGGGTCATGCTGTGTTAGTGGCATAACTGTCAAATCTGGTGAATTCCTAAACCTACTGTATCATTTTGCCATTCTTCTTTTAAATGTCATGTGGAATTTAATGCATTTAACACCATCAGGTATCTAATTACATCTCTGTGTCTCCTTATCAGCTCCCACCACCACTCCAGACATCCTCAAGCAGCCCTTCACTGGCTGCAGTTTCCAGACTCCCCCTCTTTGAGCAGATCTCTCTCCCAAAATACCCTTTACTCTTTCTGCCTCCCACTGTAAGGTGAATGCTTCTTTTCTCTGCTCCCTGGAACACTTGCAAAGTCAATTTAACTCACTGTTTTCTTTCAAATTAACATCTCTGTCATCCTTCCCACTACTGTTTCATTCCTGCTTTGCTGCCAACCCCCCTGGAGAGACAGACACACCCATTTTCTGTGTTATTCCCTCCAATCACTCATGCAGTAAAACACCTGTCAGACTCCTTAGCAGAAATCCCAGTGTTAGCTGTCAAATCCTAAATCATCCTCCGAGGATGTTTGGTGTGTCCCACATGGTCATAAAGTGACATTTCCCTGAGCACGCAGCACCTTGAAGTTGTAATCCCCAAATTCAAAAGGTCCTTTTTCTATCTTTTTGGGAAGCACTGCATACAGAAGAGGAAACAGCTGCTGAATGCTGGTGGTGTTAAATAGCAGCCCAAGCTATTTCTGCATGGTGAAAGTCAGAGCCCTGCTTGGAAGAGCCCAGTCCTTTCATTCATCTCCACCCAAAGAAACTGAAGACAAATAATCAAGCTTGTCTGTATTAGTAATAATATTTTTGAAATATTAACCTCCAGAGCTGTGAGCTAGTCAGACATTAATTAGAAAAGAGAAAAAAGCAAAGAAGGATTTAGTAATTTCACCTGACTTTGATTTCTATGCCTCAGTTAATCATCAGCAAAATGGAGCACTATATTTACCTGTTCTGCAGAGATCTAACAGTGATAAATCAGTTGAAGAGGCATTTATCAACCCCAAAACAAAGCCCCAAATTCAGGAATAAGTTTTATAAGGAAGATCCTTTACACAAATACTTATATCCTCTTTTAAAAAATACATTTTTTATGGAGAAGTCAAAGCTAAACTGCTGTCTGGAAAGCTCTGGGGGAAAAAAATCCAGTTAGTGTTTAATCTCTCATACAAGTCCTACATTTTCCTTTGCATTGTGAGGAAAATGTGTGTCATCTGAACTGGTCTGCACACACACATTGCTCATTACACAGGAACCATGAAAAATTAAGCTTGCATTTTGTACACTTGGATCACATACTCCCTGTCTGTGGAAAATGAGATTTTTAATATTTCTTAAAATGGGGTGAAGAAAGCAAGCTTGGAACTCTAATCTGCTTTGTAAAACCTTTGACTGATTGGGTGGGGACTGAGTGATAAATGATACTTCCTCAGCAGTGACCTGTTGTTCTACTACAGCTGCCACCACTGCAGCTTCAACATTTACCTCTGTCAGCATGATGTAACATTTCAACCTTTGCACTAATGTAGCTCCTCACTCAGCCACCAAGCACTGAAAAATCCAATTTGTATAAGCAAAGGTACCATTGGACAAAAGGCTTTCAATTGAGTCTTGAATTCTTAAAATAAATTGTTCTGTTAGTCATGCTCAGCTGTATCTACAGATTATCTGCCTGCTACAGAATCTCTTTCCCAGCTTTGAAATATAAATATGTGCACATGTGGATTGGGGTTGTGTGTGCTCTCAAAATTATATCTGTATGAGTTACATGAAGATTTGTGAATTTGGGGTATGAGGCTACAAGGCAGCTGGACTTGTAGTCCATTAATTGTTTTTCCTTCTATTCTGTTAAATTGTGTTTGCACTTGAATATACTTCCAGCAATATATTGTAGCAATGAGTTCCTAAATTTAATCATGCTTAAAAACACTTCCCATTGCTTTAAATTTTCTGCCAGATAATTTAATTTGGTGTGCAATAAATCTGGTGTCAAGGGAACTTGTGAATAACCACTCTCTAATCACTTTTTTTTCCATGCACTCCATGATGTTAGAGAGATCTGTCATAACCTTGTCTCCAGCCATTTCTCTCCTGCCCTGAAGAGCCTCAGCCTGTTTAATTGGTTCTCATGTGGAAGTCATTTCAGATCTCTACCATATCTCCCCATTTTTTTTCCAATCAAATTTTACTACTTGTGAAACCAGCCTGGGTGAATAGGAAGGAACTGATAAAGCATTTAAAAAATATTTACATTTTTCCATAAGATATTTATTTTTTTAACTTCCCCTTCATTCTTAGAGTCTTTCTTGCCTTTTTGACAGCTCCTGAAGAGTCCCAGAACTCTCCCCAAATGGTTCCAAGAGCTCCTTCCTGAGTGGTAGTTCAGAGTGTAGCAGAGCATGCTCTCAGCCTAATAATGATAATATAAATATCAATTAAAAGGTAATTAGTAGTACTAAATGGTAAATGTGCTTTTCTGGTCCAGTTTGACTTGGAAGGAAATGAAAAGATTTAAGATCACCTGGTTTTGTAGTGAACTGCATTGCAGAGCCAACAGATAAAGACTCTGTCAGGTCTATCAAGCGGTCAGAGGCAAAAGGAAGTTTGCAACCAGAAGCTGCAGAACTGGAAAACCTGGGGAAAATCCAGAGCTCTGTGCATTTAGACTCTGCTGCCAGCCTGTACCTGGGAGATTTGCTGACAAAATCCCCTTTAACCCAGTCTATTGGTTGATCCCCATATGTGAATGGGTGAAAAAACCATTCACCACACACACCAGGACTGCTTCTCTCCTCCAATTTATCAGGCTAATTCTATATAATGCTACTTTTATGCATCTGTTATACACAGACACAGTTTGTCTTGACTGAGAACACAGAGAGAAAACACAACAGAGAGAGCTTTGGAGAGCTTTACCCTGCAAGTCAGAGCATCAACTATTCATTGTTCTTACCAACCAACCAAATAATTTAAATACATGTTATGTCAACATTATTATATTGACTAAAAAAATGTTGAAAACCTAAATTACTGTTTACTTTTGGCAATATAAAAGTCAGAAGCAAGAGGTTTTTTAGAAAATACCCATCACTGTCATACATAATTGATAGAATAAAATCAGCTACTAAATATCACTTAATAGTTGGCTTTGTTCTGTAGCGATAATGTATATGGAATTCCTGTTGAGTTCAGTGGGATAACCCTAAGGGAAGGCTGTGGGAATATACATACATCTCTGACTAAATGTGTTTAATTTGCATATTTATTTGCCAAAAGAGAAAAAGGGAAGAAAGCCCCAGATTTGGCTGGGATCTCAGTATTTTCTCCAGGTTCTGCAAGCTGCAATAAGAGAGGAGGAGGTTGTGCTGCTGGTCTGATTGTACCACTCCCTGCTGACTGCACAGGGACAAAGTAAATCCAGGATTTGTTTATGGTGCATGGCACCAAATGAATAACATTCCACTGAAATGGTTACTATTTCTTGAAAGAACAGAAACAGCAACATACAAAGAACAAAAGACCCCCAGCACCTCGCTCCTTCCCCTTGGATTCCAGCAGGTCAACAAAGAATGGGTATAACTGTTGGATTTGAGAGCCAAAGCTTCCAAAAGCCAGCGTGGCACAGTGGCACAGAGCTGTTGGAAAAGGTGTTCACTGGCAAGAGGGGAAACCAACATGTTACATTCTAGTCAGGGAAAAAGCCCAGCTGGCACTGTGTGGGCTCAGACACATCCAATTTCTGTAGCAGGAGCTTTTAACCTCCCAAGGTTTTTCTAGTATTGATACCGTGTCCTCAAAGAATATTTTTGGATGTGAAATTTCCAATGGATTTATCTTGATGTTGTGCCCAGTGCTTTCAAACCTAGAAGAATTCTGACATTTATCCCATTATGGTGTGGATTCTTGGGGGCTTGGATTCTATAGGAACTTCTAAGTTTTGCACTTAAGTAAAAAGAGTGTGCAAGTTTAAAACGTTGAGCTCATCTTTTTCCAAACCAAGATTATCTTTGGCATTCAGTTTGCTCCATGTAAATATAGAAAGACACATTTGCTGAGCAACTGGGTTAATGAACTTAGAACAAACCAGACTGTGTGTGTTTGTGACTAACCCAAACTACAGAGAAACAAACATGGTACAAGCACTGCCTTCTCCCTCTCTCTTTCATAGGCACTCTTTTACCTTGGCTGATTAAATTTTAATTTTCACAGCCTTTCCTTAAAATGAGCCCAATCCTGAAAGCTACACCACATAAAACATTCTATGCAGTTTAGAACTTGCTGAGTGAATGTCAGCAAGGCAAATGACATGTGACTGTGCTTCTGCACATGTGCACATACAAGTTGTTCAGGATTCAATCATTTAATGTTAAAATTGAACAGCTGCTATCAGTAAAGACAGACTGTATCCCCACCAACTCCTGAAATGCTCAGAATACAATTTCAACAGCTGAACAGCAGCTCTGGGTGTATCTGTGATGGGATTGTGTCACTGAGCTTCATTCATGTCCTACCATGGAGGGCAGGATATGAATCTTCCTTCAAACTTACCTTTTGGCTCCAGGGTGGCTTGAAATCCAGACACTGGCATAAACAGTAATAACTTACTATAAGGTCAGCTTTTTTTTTCTTCTTTCCTGACTTCCTCATGTGGCTGTCTCCTGTGGGATAGAAGAAAGACTGAAGTTTAAAAAGTAGAAATGTGAAATGGAGGTAGAACAAATAAAATGGTATTGGTTTTCCTCACACTTCCTCCTCTTCTTAGCTTTTAAAAGAATATTTAGATGCATTTCTAAATTGTTAATGACTGCACTTATTAGCATTTATTAATATTGAAAGTTGGGTAGTTATATGTTTACCAGGATATATAATTTTCATTTATTTCTAATTTGCTTACAGTACTTTCTAAATTATAAATACAGTATTATTTGTATTCACACATTTGTACTACTGCTTATTATTAGCAATTAAGCATTTATGTGAAATCAGATTTGGAGGCAGAGGAAATAATGTGACTGATTTGTTTGAGAAGAGATGTTGACACTGCTAGCATTCCATTCTTGTTTTCACTTGGTTCCTGTTGGAATCATGCCACTGGAGGTGGTAGCATTATGTACCTGAGGCCAAAGTTTCAAAATATGCTTCAAATTCTCAAGCAAATGCTCAAAATTTCAGTTTTTCCTGGGTAACCATATTGTGGGCACAGAACTAATAAAGATTAAGTTGAAAAGATTCACGCCAGTGAGAAGAGTCTTGGCCAAACCAGTGTAACAGAAAACAGGCTTTTTACAGGCTGTGGGTGCTGCTCATTCACTGCTACGAGTCTCTTCGACCTGTTTTCTCCTTCCATCACACTGTCTCTCAGGAATACTTTGTTCCTTTCTCATCTTTTCTAGCTGTTCTATTAGGGACCATTTAGAATGCTGGATATTCAATGTCACTCTAGTAAATATGATACTTTTCTGTTGAGAATTACTCAGCCTGTCTGGACTACTTCATTGGATTTTTGATCTGTTTTTTATTTGTACACTCAGGAGAGATTTCTTATTTTTTATGAATGGTTATATATTGTTGCCTCAGTTCATGACTAGAGTGTGATGGCATCTCTGATGACTGTGGAGAGTGAGTTTTCCAAGCTGAGACTCAGCTCATGAGAAGAAGGTGGTACTGGGAGTGACAAAAGCCACAGCACAGTGATGAGAAAAACTGCTAGAGATGGATGAGCTTTTGATCTGTAACCTCCAGAAGAGTCCCCCTGTCCTGCTGAGCAAGGATTTAATCATCACCCAGTGAGAGCTGGCAGGTGGAAGACAACTCTAGGGTTACAATGGGCATTAGAGGTGCAGTGGGAGCCAAAGGACTGAAGATAATTCAGTAATCAAATGGAGAGAAAACCTGAAGAAGCTTGTAAGTAATAAGTGTGGAGTTGGGAAGAAACCCAGCTACTTCTGCTGAGTATAATTCTATTTTACTCTTAGTGCTGTGGGGGCCCACACTGGGGAAACAAAAGCGTGGCACAAGCTCACCAGGTTTTTCCTTTTCATTTCTGAGGTAGCTATAAAACCTCTCCAGAGCTCACTCACCTCCTGCCTTCTAAATGTCCTCTTTTTAAAACCACTTCAAGCACTTTTCCCCACCATGCTTGCCAAGTTTACAGCTGCTCACTTACCCTGACTTTAAGCATTATCCCTTTCTAGTCCATCCAAGGGAACCACCTCAATAGCAAGGAATGACAGAAACTGGAAACTGTCGCTTCTTAAAACCACTGCCCTCAGATCACCCAAAGCCCTCTGAGCTGACTTACATGTTTATTTGTTCCTTTGACTCCTCCACATCAGAGGGAATATTTGGGTGGCTGAAACTCAGTTTTTTCTCATGTGCCCTGAGCCTGCTGGCCTGCTTTCTGTGTGCTTTTCCTCTTCAGTGATTCCTGACTAATTATGAAAATGTTCTCCACCTTGCTTCACAGAACTGAGGTGATTTGGTGATTTTGGTGCCTGCCAAAAATCGCCACAACTTGGGCAGTGTTCTGATCACACACTATTAAATTGATTCATTTTTCTGTTGCTCACCAACTTAATTTTTAAAGGTGATTTCACATTCTTTTATATTCCAGTAAGTTCCAGATTAGTATCTTCCTCTGAAATACGATAACAAAGGACAACAATTCCCCAGTATGAACTGGGAGAACTTTCCCTTATCTCTTTCAGCATCACACGAGTGAACTATTGGATGTCTTGAGCTCAGCTTCACTATGTCCAGTACTTGGTTCAAAAACACCTGTCTAATTCTAATTTCTAGCAATACTGGACTCACTGTGTGAGCTCAGCTGTCACTGCCCTGCAGCTGCCTGTTCACTGCTGAATTCCACATACTCTTGGAAGGTTGCACTGTTGAAGAAAAGGGAAGGTGTCAGTGCAGCCTGTCAGTGAGCTGGAGGGATCAGGCAGGGTACTACTGCAGGAGAAGGAAATAAAGGAATGACTACACTGTGCTGCCTGTGGGATAACAACAGAGGTTAAAAAAAAAAGAAATGGAAATAAAACAAGCAAAGGTGTTGGCAGTGAAAGGGATTTGGCACACAGGTACTCTGCAGCCTCAGAGTACAATGTTAGTAAGGGTGTAGCAGCAGATCCGAGTCCAAGGAGCATCTTACCCCACACTACAGGACATATCCCTGCTAGTGAATATGCTGCTGACTTTGGAATCAGGTGTCATCAGACTGTATTGATTCTTTCAAACATAATCCAGGCTCTCAAGCTGGGCCTCATTTGTTTTACTGACAAGTAATAACTCTCTTATCTTACCAGAGGAGTTAAAGCACCCAAAGGCCACAAGATGCTCATCACTCTCAGGCACAGGATATGATTCTTGGTGCTGGTCCTGTGCAGGGCTGGGAGCTGGATCTGTGATCCCTGTGGGTCCCTTCCAACTCAGCACATGCTGTGATTCTGTCATTTCAGGCACCAAATTCCCCAGTTCTCAAGGGGAACAGTTTACTCCCTTCCCTTCTCAACTACAGCAAAAGAAATAAATAACAGAACGTTTAACAGCAATGCAGTGTAAAAAAGAGCTGTAATAACCATCTGATTTAAACACACAAAAATATCTATTCATAATTTCATATTTTTGAGGTGTTTATGAATGATCCCAAAGGTTCATGGGCTCTTTAAAAAACCCCCAGTAAAATAAACTCAAAATTAAAATACAGAGATAACCACTCTTCTACCCAGTAGATTTACAACATATTGCTGGAATATGACATCAAATATTTCCCCATTTAAATTCGGGCATCACAATACCCTGTTTATACAATAACTTAATAAATTTAGCTGGGCTGCCTATTTGACAAGTAGGCGAGAATTGTTCATTAAAATGCAAATGTAATCAAGGTGAAATTTGGAATACGTTTATTAAAGTAATTGAGCTTCAGTCAACTGTAGTCACAACACAGATTTTCAAGTGCCGTTCAGACAAAAGGATATGTCTAATTCTTCTACATTAATATCTTTATCAGCATGAACATTAAAAGAGTTTTCTGAGCAGTAATAATGTACTGTGGAATAATTCCAGTTTTCTCTGCAGGAATATATTATTACAGATAAGGGTCAAAGACATGCACAAAGGAGTGACCCAGCAGTGTACTGCACATACAGAAAATTGGTTGCAAGTGTATTTTCAGTGCTTGGTGTAACTATGCACTTACTAAATTACTCTGTAAATCCTTTAGAGACTCAAGGTCATCAGTTAATTGACCATTAAAGTGTTGGGGAATTGAACTTTTTCTGCTAAGATTTGGGATTCTTGGTGCCTTTGATTAAGAAATGACTCATAAAAATAAAAGGAAATACTAAATTTGTCTTAGTTATAATTAAAGTGCTAGTAAAATATTAGGAAGGTGTGATGGTAGTGTCAGAAACTTTTTCATCAGGGTAAGGACAAGTTAGATATTTACTAGGGTTTTTTTTATATAGTTTCTACTTGTTTAAGTACCCTGGGTCATCTTCACTGCCTTCAAAGGAATCACAGCAAGGCTGTATTTATCCCAGAAAATCAAATTCTGTAGTTGATAATGTCAGATCTACGGTTTGCAAGAACAAATTCAGGGGAGAGATGGTTATTAAAGGACTGATGGGATGCCAAACCCTTGTTCAGCTCAGCTGATTTGGCTCCAGCCTGAACAGATTAGACAGGAAAATGGGAAGAAAATTGCAAAGCTCTTGGCTGCCCCACTGTTTGATGCAATGGGTGGTGTCAGCAGGTGCTTCCAGCCTCTCACTCTTCCTGCTCATCTCCCTCTGCCCTAGTCCCTGAGGCTGGAGTTGCAGACAATTTATACCAGCTTGATTCTCTCTCTAAGGCTGAAGATTCCTGGTGAACAAATATTTTAAGCAGTAAATAAAGTAATTAGGTATCTATCAAGCAATGTATACATAGGTATTTCTCTGATCATGGAAATTGTTAGCCAGCATTTCATAAAATGGCTTATTCAATTTTCTTACTTTAATGGAATCAGCCTTTATATCAACAAAGCTAATGACAGAACATCACACTGTTAGAAAGAATCCAGCCTTTTCCAGAGGCTTACAGCCAATTGTAAATAGAAATGAAACCCATGTGTCACTGCTCTGAAAGCCACTGCAAGCACAAGCTCAGGGCCATTTCCTTTATTTTCATAAAAGCATTTCAATGCGCATCTGCAGTAATTCCCTGCTAGACCCATAAAAGTTCCTCTTTGGGCAGCAGGCCAGACCCTGCCATGGGTGTTGGGAGGTCACCTGCTGGCCACTGCCTGATTTGCTGCAGGAGTGGCAAACTGGAGAGGAGCTGAGGCTTCCCAGGTGAAAAACAAGTGCAATTTAATTCACACTGCAACTTCAACCATTGCCAGTAAGTATTTTCTGTGGCAGAAATGTAGTACAGCAATCCATTTTCTTATAAACCAGAAAGTGCAGGAGGCAACAACTTTGAATTTACACCAGATACAGCTGAACTGTTTCCTGAGTGGACTAAAACTGTATTAAAACCCACTACAAATCTGCTCAACGAGCACTTTGCATTATTTGCAACTGTGCCATCATGAGCTGTGATTCCATCACAAATCTCAAATGAGGACAGTGAGCATCTGGACCCTGAAGATTTGGAAACAATATCCAGGGAAGGAAGCAGGGAAAGCAGGAAGCTCCAAATTCATTTGGATTAAACCTGAAATCTACAGCCTTCCATAGTTCTGGGGGCACAATGGTACTGGAGGGTCTGGGCTTTTTTGGAGCATGTAGTAAAATGGAAGTTTTGACAAGCTGAAGGATTCAGGATGTTATGGCAATTCTCTGCAGGAGCACATAATGTTAACACTGCATTAATCAGATTTCCATTGATTACACACCACTGCCCTCACTGCTGTTTCACTTTTAATTTGACAATTTTTTTTTTTTAATCCTTCCAGTCCCCAAAATATATGTTGAATGTATCAGCTTTATAACACATCAGACTCCACTGGAGTTCTTGCTGCATTCTAATGGCTAAAACAATTCTTCCATGTCCCTTAACTTTCTGACAAGGTGCTGTAACAGCTAAATAGCAAATAATTGGAAAACTGCAGGAATTGCCAAGATAAAAGAAAATCCATATGTACACAGTGCTTTTCTTATTTACAGAGCACACACAGAACAACAGGAGAGCAAACCCTGCATTTCTTGTAAACTGTCAACAGTGATAGTGATTTACACCAGCGTTCCATTCTCTTATCAGCAAATACTGGGGCTGCTGACCATTTCACTCAGTATTGCAGGGCCTTTCATTCAGCACTGTAATTTATATCCATGCCAGTATGTCCCAAATTTATTTATATTAGGACTGTTCTATCACCTCTCCTGAGCAATGTAAGGCAGTCTCATTGTAAATGAGAATTAGGGCATTGTTCACTTAAGAATTATTCAGTGAGTTATTACAGGGCACACACATTATCCTGAAATTTATTTCTGAAATTAACAAAAGCCCTGAAGTTGAATTTACACTGTGGTGAGCCTGAGCCAGCAAGTCCTGCTATTGAGCTCTGCATTTGGGTCATGCTCTGAAAGCTCAGCATGTGGACAGAAAAAGCTTACAACTACTCACAGTTCAAATGTAGATACTAATGCAAATTAATTATAAATTCTGGTTTGGTAGTGTACACAGCCAAGCTAGAGATGCTCACACAAGGAATCAGGAACACAGTGGTGACTGCTCCTATTCAATGCTTGAATAATTACACACTAGGAACCAAATGGGTAAACATTTATCCACCAACTTTTCTTTAATTCGGTGAAGACCAGATGAAAACTACATTAAATATCTATTAAATGTAGGTTCCAACCAACAGAAACTCAGACATCTGTGATAATTTACCATGCTGAACCACTGATGATTCTGCCAAGGAACTCAAGTAGCACTACATCAACATCTGTCTGGAGCAGTTGAAGACACACAAACAATCTGGAATACCCACATTGTTTCAGAGGTTGATTCCCATTTTATTCTCCTGCAGATGAGTACAATATTCTGTTGTAAACTCAGATTCTGTCGTAAACTCAAATGTCTGTTTAAAAAGCAAAACCAGGATTTGCATAATGGGAAAAATGTACATTATCCATGGAAATCTGACCAGGAAATAAGTCACAAAACAAGTTCAAATAAGACATGAGCAAATTTGTGGAACATTCACAGAAGGTTGTGTGGCAGGAAATAAAGATCTTCAGTAGTCAAAACACCACCCACACTGCAACAGGAGATGTCACAGGTAGATGCATTCACGTAGAACTGCATATTTAAAGTGTCTCAGAGTGGTTTTCAATTACCTACAAAGATGTTGAAACACAGATGCTGCATCCATTGTGAAATGAGACAGAACCTCTTGTTGGAAAACGAGGAAGCTCTCTAACATTGAGAAGCCCAAACATATTTGGCTACTAGGGGTTACAAAAAAACAGTCTCAGGAGGAGTTCATTATCAAAGGTGAGTGGGTGAAGTACTTCCAAACCAAAAAGTCAGTTTTGTACTGATGAAGGGCAGAAAAAGAGACTGGTAAGATGTCAGAGCTTTGCTTTAAATTTTTCTTCAAAAATCTGTGGGAAGCTATTACCAAAACTTCAAAAGAAAAAAAAAAATTCACATGGAGATTGCTGGGGTTTCCATTTACTAGCTGTAACAATGTACAATAATTACTTTATGTTCATATTACCAATAAAAACTCACTGCTTGTTAAGCAGAATTTCAGTGAGGACCCTGATCCTCCACCAGGAAATAATGCTGCTTCAAGGTTTTCATGTGAAAGTAGAAAACAATTCTCAGTGACTTCATGTCTTGCTTCACTACATTAAGGTATTTACAGAGCAATGACATTTTACTGCTAAATAACAGAAACCTCATTTTATATGTCAGCATTGTTCAAACATCCAGTGACAATGTGTCATTGGGGTACCAGAAATGTGAGATTACACTGTTGTGTTTAGATAAGTATTAAAATCTACTAAGGATGAACTATTTCCACTTAAGAAATCTCAAACATAAACACATATTTTTGCCTAAAAGGAAAGGAATTGAGACTCAAAGGAACAGCCTCTGGAAAGGCAGAAATGCTGATAGCAATAGCAGTCTTCCCAGTGATTGATGATAGAGATAATGGTTCATACATCCATACACTTAAATGGCTGTCTTTCCCCATGACTGCTGTCTAATTAATGTGAGCCATCATTCATGGAAAAGAAAATTTTTTTTTCTGGATAAAAAAAAAAATGCTGCAGACTGCCAGAAGTGACAGTGCTAGAAACATGCCAATTAGAGTGATTTCTGCCACGCAGCAAAAGGCCACAAAACACTGGTTTCCAAGCAACTGACATTATAAAGTATTAAATACACTGGAAACCAAAATTGACAGATAAACACTTCACCTTCTCAGCACTGCCTCACTCTTTCTTTGCTTCTTAACTCTACGTTTCCTGTCCTGCCTGTTCCTATAGACTCTACTGTACCTTCCAGTAAATATATTTACTAAGGGATGCCAGCTTATCACACTCCTAAACACTAAACATCTTCTGTCTGCATATATTCAAGTAGCACTGGGACAGATTCACAGGTAAGGACAGACAAGGTTACAACCAGAACTCCAAAAATAGCACATTAAAGCCTTTCAGTACAGGCTGCCATTCCAATCACATTGAAATGGTTTTGTACTAAAGGGAGATCCACAGCCACTGTCAGGTAAAGAAATAGGAGAAATTGCTCTTCAGGTTACAGTCAATCTGTTATTCCAGGCAGGAAGGATGGATTAGGAGAGGCTGGGCTTTCTGCATGCAGAGTGACTTTTAGAGATCTGCCTTCAGGAAACTTAAACCATTTTAAAGAGCAATCCAGTTTCTAATTTAAAGCAGAAAAAGCAGCTGGTTGAACACTGTTGAACTGCCAGCAGTTTGACATTTTGCTTTATCTAACCAGCACAGCCCAGGGAAACAGGAGCACAGGAGGCATTTCCCTCAAACTCTGGCTAATTCCATGCAGAGGTTCCGTGTGCCCTTTGCAAGTAAGGGCTTGGCTGGTTCATGGAATAGCACAGACACTTCCCCTTTGGGCTTGCAGCTCAAAGCTGTCAATTCCTAGACACTGAGGATGACCACAGCTTGTCGTTTTTACATGGCATCTATGCTTAGGTGACTTATCCTTGCAGAGTTTCCAGTTTCTATAATTTCTCATACCTCCTTTTTACAAACACAAAAAAGGTATTTTCAGCTAAGTCTCATTTGAAGCAATATGCTTTGTTTTAAATACCATTTTTTTTGTGAACAGGAGTATGTCCAGTACACTTGCATGGTCCTAGCAGGCTGAGTTAGTCTCAGAAGTGGTTTATGGCAACCTGCTTTTATTTATGGATTAACCACTACAAATTTCCAATACTTTTGTAATCTCTCTAGTTGTGTAACTGTTCTTAATGCTTCTGCAATTTATTAATTATAAAGACTTCTACTTTCTTGGTTCTCATACAGTACATCCTCATGCAAGCATGGATTATTTAACATTATTTCTGGATCCCATTTACAGGTGTCACTGGAACAAAGCAATAAGACAGGATCTCCCTCAGAGCTCAATGTCATTTTGAAGGGACTGTGCTTGAGTTTACTCAGTTCTAGTAAAAATAGCAATAGAAATGAAAACATAATTTTTAGCTCAAAGCCACAGATATTTGAATGCTCAAGGACAAAGGTGGTGTCTTTCCTGCCACACTGTATTCCACCCACTGAATCCAACACTGGGAAGTACTAAGCAAATTCCTTGCCATGTTTCCATGCTGTGTGGGGGTACAAGGATATCCAGGAGGGGACAGGGGTCACAGCTGATCAGGGAACACTTCACACCTGGGAATAGTGGCTGATAGTTTTGAAAGATGAGTAGTTTGCATTCTGTCTCACCATCCTCTTCTACATCATCGTGAGGACTCAGGATAGTGTAAGAGAATATTACTGACAGGAGGCATGAGGTCATAATTATAAGCTTTAGTTTAATTATGTTTTTAATGTCTAAGGCAGAATATTAAAGCTGTGTGAATGCAGCTAAGTCTGTTCAGGTAATGACTCCTCAAACATTTCTTAGTTAATTTAAAAATTCCTACTACTATGTCACTGTGATCATTAAAAAAACTTCCTCACACTTCGTTCTATTATACTCTTTCACACAAACAAGCTGCAAGATCACAGACTCTACTTCCTGTGAATATGTATCAATTAACATCCAATTAAGACAACTGCTGGGTGTCCTTTTCAATCAGGAGGAAAAACAGCAAAAACCAAATCCACAAAGGTCATTTGTATTCACTGACTCTCTGTAGTAAGTATTAGCATGCTGGTCTGCCAGCCTGACTGCTTTAATTGAGATTAAAAGTTGCTGCCCCGGAGAAGAAAACTCCAGTATTCTTCTTTATTTCTTGCACTTTCCATTCTGCTTTTTTTCCTAATATATCTCCTTTTTTAATGTCTGAAATTATTACAAGAAGCATTGCTGACACGGCCTTTGATCCAAACCAGCAGCACAATTCTTATTTGAAATTATCTTCTCCTGCAACTTCCTATTTCAATATTTGGTTATTAAAACAGCTGTAGGGTTTGATTTAATTGCCATTCTTACTGTTTCTTTTTTTTCTAGATTTAGCCAAAGTAACAAATCCTTAAGGTGAATGGCTAACATGTTTTCATTGTAAAAATGTTTCCACCCAGGCACAGGAAATCAAGTGAACTTAGTTTTGAATGTGGCTGTGAGTTAAATTTGTGGAACTAGAAGAAGATGGCCAAGGGATGTTTAACAGGTAGAGGGTTTCTTACCAACCCTTCAAACTCTGCTTGGGATGTTAAAATTAAGTTGGGTTCTTTCCATCTTCTACATGAGGAATAAAAGGGATTCTGCAACCCAAATTTTATATCCAAGAACAGTTTCACAAAAAACACTGTCCTCTGTGAGTTGGAGGACAGGTCTAGTCAGGACAATTCTGCTGATAATGTACATAAAGGACTGCAATCATGTCTGTCCTGTTAGCAGCACTGGCTGTTGTAGGGTGGGCAAGGATGGAAGATTAAAATCAGTAAGTTTAATCACTTAGGGAAAAAAATCTGACATCAAAACACATTAAGATGAAATTTATTCATATCATTAAAAAATATACATTTAACAATTTTGCAGATTGCATTACCATTAAAAATTCAGAAGGTGAATCTGCATTTATCATAATGTGGCCCAGGAAACAAATGTCCTCAGTAAAATCTGTCTGAACAGTCCATCTGTTAGAGAGAACAACTGCACTCCCCCGGTGTAATGGGCTGCAGCTTACAAAAAGTCTTTCCCTGGAGATTCTAATTTAATAGGTCAACTTTGAAATTAGAAATCAAATCAGAGCAGCAGGGGCAGCACTGAAGTCTAGAAGAATTAGTAAGGTGAGTTGGGTATTTACTTCCCTGAGACACCCAAAGTTCCAATTGCAGCTGTAAAAGTGACAATCTTACATCCCCAGTTTGACTTTCATAATTTTTCTCTGAGAGTAATAATATTTATCCACCTAATACCTACCAGTGATGCAGAGTTGAACAGGACAATGCCTGCACATACTTGAGTACTAAGCATTATAAATTTATCACATTAACACTCCTAAAAGTGTAAAGAGAGTGGTAGAAAGATAAAAAAAAAGAAAGAATTCAACTAAAATAGTAAGAACAAATATTACTTATGTGTAAAAAACCTGTAACTTGCACTGAAATGAGTTCATCTTGTTTCATCTAAATGCCTACAAATCAATGTGTTACTATTTAAACTGGGCAAGTCTTTTAATACCAATTAAATGAGGGTAATTTGCATGCTACAGAACACTTGCAGCTATTTCTCCTCCTACTCATTTGAAAATAAAGAATGCAAAGCAACCAAAAGCAAGTTCCAAACACCTGCAACTTGTAGATCAAGAAGTAAAGTGATCTTTGGCAGGTTATCATCAAAAGAACTTTAACTTGAACTCAAGGAGACAATCCCTCTGAAACTTAGCAGAGAATAATGACTGCAGGCAAACATAACTAACAGTGCATTTATGGCAAAACCAAGTCATGCTTTACTAAAATGGCTTATCCAGCCTTCAAAATACGTAGGATTTATTATTTTGTTTACAGTTTATTACTATTTTCAGTCAAGTTTATCAAGGGAAAATCCACTAAAACTGATTCAGTTGACTAAGTGAATAATAAAAGTAATTGGGGGCAGAGAAGGATAAGAAGGGAGCTATGTGAAATCTATTTACTATATACTAGTAATCTACTATTTACCACAAGTAAATAGTATAAAATTTAGAAATTGATGTCACATAAAATTTTGGGAACATTTCAACCACTTAAATTTCACTTTATTTTGAAATGTAAAGCTCTGGTTTCTCTCCAGCAGAACATGCAAAGAAGCTGGTTTAACTTCCTTGACTTTTATGCAGTTAATCTCAAACATTGCAAGAGCTTAATTTTTCTTCAGCATATGCTGATACAATATCCCACGTTGTCTCGACTGCCACATTTGCTTAGATTTAACCTAATTATTAAGTCTTTATATAGATGTCTGTCTTATTGCTGCTTGCTTTAATTCAACTTTTTTCCCCTAGTGAATGCTCTTCAAAGACTTCAAGTCTCAGAAGCTTGTAAACACTCGTGTAATTTGTACCCTGCTGGGGCTGGCAGGGGTAATTTGTCAGTTTTATTTGCAGCAGGCTGTAACTAAGCCTTGCCAGATGTAAATCATCTTTTTGTGCTCTTTGCTGTTCAATTGCAAATGAATCTCTTTCCTTAGATTAACGCTCCCATCAACGAAGTCAGAAGTCTCTAGAAAAATTTAGAAAACCCTGGAGTCACCTACTGCAAGGCTTATTATGCAGTTTAGCAACTATTTAAGGTAATTCCAAGAAAACTGAGTGGTCTCTGTAGGTAAGTTTGGATGGCAAGCAGAACTTGAGTGCCACAGAAAAGCAGAATGAAGCCTCAGTGCTGTCAGCTTAAGCAGCACCTGCAGTGTCAGTGGTGACACACCCTCTCCCCTGCGTTTGGTGTTTTGTTTGCTTGGTTTATAATGTTTATTTATTTATTTAAATGAGACCATAAGAAATGTCCTGCTGGACCAGAAGTTTCTTGTGTCTAGTGGCAATAGAAGATGGTTTCTAGGAAAAGAACGTACAACCTTGTACAGCCTTGCCTGGCTAAAGTTTCTGTGTGCTTTGGGTTCCTTCCCTTGACTCAGATCCATTCCCAATTCTCGAAAGGGGAAGAGCATCTTCCCTGGTTCCTGTGGATCAGACTGAAAGTCACCAAATTAAAAATAAACATTACAGCATTACTTAAGAATAGCCCAGCACAGAGAAGGTATGTGCAGTCTCAGGGTTCGGTTTCAATCACCAAATATTTTTTGAGCTGGTCATCACCTGTGACAGCATCGTGTCATCTCACAAGCATGGAAACAAGTCTGAGTTCAAGTTCGACAGAACTCTTGCAGGAAGTTGAGCAACCACGACTTTCATTAAAATACCAGGCAGGGAGAAGAGTTTGTTCAATGGCCTAGACTTAGACAATGGCTGCTGTGAGCGCTCATGGATTAACAAACTACAAAACTTACCCATAATTTTCAAAACCAAAGTGGTGCAAATAAATTTTTCCACTGAGATGCAAACTAGAGCAAAAGTGTCTCCACTAGTCTGGTGTAGAAAAACTTCATATGTCAGGAAGTGTCTTTGGTGCACAAATAGATTCACATAGGAAGTACCTGTGCAAAATGCATGTATGCTTTATAAATTATTATGCTTAAATGCTCAAGAAATGTAACTTTTCTCTTGGGAGACAATTATATAGACTACTGTGTCTAACATAAAAAGAATATCCAATTTCCAAACCCAGGAATAGAAAATTACTTACTTGTAGCTGCTTTTCCCTGAAGATACACTCTGTCATAAAACTCTATTCTGGGTCTGTGCTTTCACCCTCAGGGAAGGCACAGACCCATAAAAAGCCCTCAAGTCAGACATAAGCACAATTTTGGAACTCCCTCAACCATCAGTTTAATTCAAGTGGAAAAAAAAGACACATTCCTGCCTATTAAAAAAAATTATATAGGTAGATTAATAGAAGACTTCAGATCACTTAGCTGTGTCTGGAGCTCAGGCTAAAAAGAACATGAAAAGAGTTATTCCTTCCTGCACTAGTTTTAGATCAAAGAGCTCATTCACTGATTCTAAGCAATCCAAAGCTTCAGGCCCCCAGAATCTGTGTCCATGTACTCGAGGTAGAGCAAATGCACAAAAAAGGGAGCCCAGCAGACTCAGAGCTGTGGCTGAAACACTCGCTCTGCTGTGCAGCTTTTGCTGAGAACAGTCAGGTACTCCAAAACAAATTGGAGAACATTTTGCTGTTTGGAATCTTGACTTAAGAAGGCATAAAACTCTTTAAAAATTCGTGTTCCCATGTAAGATTTCAGCAGAACAAAGGTTCTGCCAACCAGAGATTACTGTACATATTCAGCATGGAGAGTTTCTAAACACAGAACTGAAAGGAAAATAAAAATTAAATATTTGTCATTACATAAATTTAGTAATCACTATTTGATATTTTTTTTCCAGAGTTATTTTCCAGAGTTATTTCCAGAGTTATATTTATTCAAAGTTATTTATTGTAAGTATTTGTAATAAAAAGCAGGTTTAGAATAGTAAATGTCTTCATCTGTGGAAATAGGCTTTCAAAAGTAGACTGGATTTACCAGACAAAGCACTTAAAAAAAATTATTTCCAGCATGAAAACATAAGTATTTGTAACTTCATTCCTGTACACCCAAGAACACAACTGATCTCCTTAATAATGCCAAAAGACAAATAATTATTTCCTCTGATAAGCTCTTCTGAATTTCACAGAGCTCTTGAAGGTAGAAAGGTGCCAGATGGATAGAACAGATTTTGCAGGTGGAGCACCTTCAGAGAAGTTGCTTCAGAAGCAAATTGGTTTTAAAAACTGAAGTTTTCATATTTTGGGAAATATTCAGCTTGTATCAGGGGACATGGCTTTTGAGAGTTCAGTGAAAAATCCAATAAATTCTAAGTATTTGAACACCCTTTGATCTTTTTTCTCCTTTTCAGTTACCATTTCCTTAAGGCTGTCTTCCCTGGCATGTCTGTAATCCGGAACACCACCTCCTCAGCACAAAATATAACAACACCCCTAAAATCCATGAACTTGTGCCAGCGTTTTCATCACCTCTGCTACAGGAACAGAGTGACACTGACAGGACTTAATGTTTTGCTGATTGGTTTGTGGTGTTTTGGTTTTTTTTAAATTACACACACTGCATATAAACAAAATATTAGAAGAAACCTGAAAACTTGGGTACTTCAGGAGCAGGGAATTTCCAGTCTGCTTTGTTTTTCAAGCAGCTCAGTGTTGCCAGCATCCAGGTACCATTAGTTCTCCACCTGGTGACACAATTAAAACAAATTAAGAGTCCTTCAGGCTCGCTCGCCACTGAGGGCCGGGAACGCTGGGCGGGAACGGAGCCCTCACGTTTCGATGGCGGGAAGCACCGGCGCGGTGACCACGGCTACGGTCTGCAGAAGTTTAACCACAATCATTTAAAACGTTTAACGCCACAGAGATTGTAAATTTGTTCTCTCAGGCGCAACATTTCCTTGTATCCTGCCTGTGGCCAGCGAGCTCTGCCGGGCCCTGGGGAAAGGGAAGGAGCTGAGGGCCGCCGCGGCCTCCCTCACACTCATCCCCTCCCCTCAGGCCCTGAGGTGCGGTTCCATCACCTTCCTCTCGGGAAACACAAGAGAAAAGTTTCCTTTCCTGCAACATTATTCATGTACTGGAGAGGTGCAATCCGAGTTTAAAACAGGACGTAATTATAGAACAGCAGAACTCTTTAATTTGCCGTGCAGTTATAAAACCAGCAAACATTGCTGGAGTGTCTCATTTGTTAAACTCAACAATACATTATTGTGACAACCTGAACAGTCTTTGCAGCCTGGGTGTTGGTGGGGATTATTTTAGTGTTTCCAACTTAAGACTTTCATTATAGCTCATCTAATTCGCTTTAAGGTTGTTGCAGTGATCATTTCCTGACGTAAAAAAAAAAAAAAAAAAAAAAAAGCTTGTACAACTCCTTATGTAAGAAACAATAAATTAAAAAAAAAAAGCAAAAGCAAAAGCAACCCAAAACAAACAAACCCATAAAGTAATACATGAGACATTATCATAAAGTGAGATTACATAAGGAAATGACCCAAAAGTTTTCTGCGAGAATGATTATGGTGTGAAAAATAAGATTCACATATTTTTTTATAGAATTTAAAAGTTTAATAAAAAGACAATTAGGACATAAAAATGAAGTATACAGATATGGCCGGGTGTCTCTGCATTCAGCCAAGAGAGCACACCTACTAAGAAAGGATTGTCCCTTAAAAACAGAATCCTACTACCTATCCATAAATTCTCATACATATTCAGACATTCTTCTTTGGATTTTTGGTATTCTTTTGTTTAGTTTTCTCTTTCCCCCTTCCCAATAGATCAATCTTCTTGGCACCACCGAGATTAACATTCCCTGATAACAGAAATGCAATAAATTCCACCCCTGGAGCTCTGGACACTGCTGTCTTCATCTGGATAAGGTAGTCTAAGAATGCAGGGGGGTCTCTAGCTATCTTTTTTGTCTTTGGGTTATTCAAACAAAAGTAGTTTTTGTTTTAATACTCTGCCATAGCCTAACATATATGTATTATACCACTATTTCTAAGTTTCATCAATAACAGAAATAAAGGAAACTATATTAATACAACAAAATTTTTTAATCTTATACATATAGCATTCATTATAATATTTGCGAAAAGCCAGTAATATGATATGCATTTATAACAATGGTGATTTTTCACTGTGGAATTGGGCAGCTCCAGGTGAAAGGAAAGCAGCCAAGCTGCAGTGCTACTGCAGCAGGTGGAGCTCCATGCCCTCTGATTGTCCAGGACTCAATTCCCAAGGCCCTGGAGGCGACCAGAGCACACTGAAAGCTCTGGAATTCCTGCTCCCTGCTTTAGACAGCTCTTCCCGTGATCTCCTCAACTCTAGACAGAAAATTGCAGGCTCCTGTAGTATCTTTGAATAAAAAATAAGCAAAAAAAAATTTATTTCACTCAAACTCCTCTTCTGTAGACTCTAGATTTCACCCTAACAATTCCCAAATACTTCTACTTTCTCTTCTAGATCATTTTGGAAGTTAAAAATTGCTCAATTCTGACAAATCTGTCCTTTTGTTAACATTAGCCCCATGTCACATGCCTGTTGTCTTTGCAGATGTCATTCTGTAAGCTTTGAGATTTTTCCAATTTTTTTGTTTGCTTGTTTAAGCTGTTGAAAGAACCTGTTTCCTCTGAATTAATGAAGTTTTTTCATTCTGGGTAACTCATTAAGTTTATATGTTGTGTCAAAACTAGCAGATTGACACACCTATTGTACTCTTCTTCCTGATAATCTATCACTCAACCAGGACTATTATGATAACATTTGCAAACTGAATGTGTTTTGATGAAAATAAATCAGCACAGCCTCATCACGAGCCAATATTTAGTAATTCAAATGCAAGATCGACCTCAAAAAAGATATTTTTTTATTTTCTGAAAATGTTTAGGCAGCTTTTGTAAAGCACCACATACAGAGATGGCTGCTGCAGCTCTGCTGGCAGGATTCTAAATGTTGAATTTTAAAGACAACATTCTAGCCAAGCACTAAGGAATTTTTTTTCCCCTTATTTCCTCTTTTATTGCTGCTGCTCAATACTGACCCATCCTGCCCTCTCACTAGAAAGTGGGAACACAGAACAGACGTCAGGACCAAAAGAGAATTTTCAATTAAACACAAGAGGCTCCAAGACAAAGGACGTGACAAGGAATAGACTGCAGAAAATTTAGATTTCTTTCAGAGCAACACTATTTTAGTGCTTAGGAAAAAAAGTCACAACTAAATCTGCAACAAAGAGAAGACACCTGATTTGTTAAGGCTGTGCTGTGCCATATCAATAATGCAAAGCACTTTGCAGTTGAGGATCTCAGTTGCTAAGGGGAGCACTTGGTAAGAGCTGCTGCAGCAGCTTCCACACTGCTGCTCCGGTTGGAACGGTGCCGGCACCCACGGAAAGGGGCCTCATCCCACTGTTTTTCCATGCCAGTTTTAATGAGCAAGGCAGTTCCAGTCTGGCTGGGTGTCCCTCTGCACTCCAATGAACATGTTACTGTCAGTGGAGACTCATCAGCCAAATGGAAGGAGACAGCTCAGAAGTCAGACAAAGGTTGCCTGCTAGTGAGAGCATGAGGAGGAGACTCGGAATAGATAGATTCAATTTCATCTCTGTCAGGAATTTCCTCTGACACACTAAATAAAACATTTAGCACCTTATCCCAGCTAGCAGAGGCCTTTTCTTGACTGTGATGAATTCCACAGCTCATCATGCCTCCACTTCCTGTGCCTGCAATGGGAAATAAAACACTTCTCTTCCATAAACATCCACAAAGCATTCTGATATTATGGTGATGGAAAGCACCTGTGCAGAAAAATACCCTGTTTTCATAACAAAACCATCTTGAATAGCTTGGTATTGTTTGTTCCATACATTTGTTTCCATTTCTCATACTCCTGTGAGAAATCTTCTTTTTATTTTCTTGTCTCCAAGGATTATTTAGTAATTCTGGCAAGGTTGTTAAGTTTTGTAAAATAATTGGATCAAATTAATCACGGTTGCTGATGTTATTGCTATCAGTGCATTTACCCTACAGTAACTTTGAACCTTTTAAGCAACTACATAACTTGATCTGCCATCTTCATAGCCCTTGTAAACTCTTTTCATTCAGATGACTTAAAAATTTTAAAACGTGTCCTTGGAAATCAATACAAATAAGGAAGAAAAAAGAAGTTTCCACTTAGGTATGACATCTATCTATACCACCTATCTTTGTCTTCTGTTTCTGTCATTTATGTGGTCTTTGAACATTGTGCCTGTAATTAGATATTTGCAACCCTCCCAAAGCCCTTTATGCACATTTTGGTTGCTTACTGGCAATCACAATGTAGCTCAGCCTTAGCTAATGTTTTCTAGATATTTTCTCCCTACTTAAGTCAAAATTACAAATGTCCTTGCCAAATCTCCCAGAATACCAAATGTCCCAAAGCCATTTTCAATTGCCAAAAATCCATTCTACTAGAAATTAATGCAATCGCTGTTAAACAGAAAAGAAGAAAACCTCATCTGCACCATAATACCGCTCACTTCCCCCTCACTATTAGAGTTCAAAATAGATTATAATAGTGCTGAAAAGAACCCTTCAGGCACAAAGGACACTCAGAAAGCAGAAACATCCATAAACATCTTTTAAAAAATTGCTTTTGTACTTCTGCTAGTCTAACACAGGATTTCTTATTGCAATGTTATGCTAAAAACATGAGAGTTCATGAACTAAGGCAGGAGTACCTAACAAAATTATCAGATCGATATCTGCTACAGCACAGACTCTCTATTCAGTCCAAAAGCAGCAAACAAAAAAATAAAAAAGAACATGTTATTCTGTTTTATTTCAGAGTGAGAGCAAAGTTAATTTGAAAAAGAATTGAGGGAAGACACAGCTGGAGAGCAGAGTTTCCAGCCTCAGGAAATTCAAGGAAATGTAATTGCGAACAAATTATCTCTTTAATTACTTTTGACCAAATCAATAAGAAGCATGGAATAAAGAGCATGATGGCTGCCACCTGGTAGAGGACTAAGAACAGCAAAGTTGAAAAGTAACACAAAACTAAAACACAGCTGTGGTAAGGACAATCAGAGCACTTCTCTTACCAAATTTAAAAAAAAAAAGAAAAAAAGAAAAAAATAGAAGAGTGTGAAGGGTATTAGCTTGATAAACAAACAATGTGTGCAGAAGTTAATGGTTGTTTTTGGCCACTTCTCACTGTTCTCAGCTGTGAAGACTGAATGCTTCACTGTGTTGTCCACTCCCAAAATATCCCATCATTACTCAGGAATCAGAAAGAAAAATCTCCAGGACCTCTTGTTTCCTCCTGAATCTCCATTACTTTTCCATTGCTGGCTTTTATTTACCAAACACCAATGTAGGGATTCTTTACTGTTTGAGTTTAAGGCAAGCACTTATTCTTGTCAGTGTGTTAATAAACCAGAGCAAGATCTTACCTCTCCCTTGGCTTCGTTCCCAGGTCTGAGCAGGAATACTCACACCCAGAGGTCATTTGTGTGCAGCTAAGCAGGGCTGGATGGGACAGAGTCCTCTGGCAAGGCAGAGATGGAGGGGCTGCACTGGCATCCAACAGCAGTGAAGCCTCCCAGCTTGTCTGTCTTTAATAATTAATTAATAATACATGGTCCCCATCCCCACAGCAGTTCAGCACCTTTAAGACATTAATCCTCACAGCAGCAGTGTGACATTATCCTCTTTGTCTCGCTGAAGAACAAGGGTGGAACAGGACAAGTGCCTTGTCCCAGCTATTCCAAGCAGGGCAGTGAACCCAAAACCTCCATCTCGGCATGGAAGCCCCGGATCCCCGCACACAGCCTGGCTGAATGTTCCAGCATTTGTCACTGTCACTGAGGAACGTGTGAGGAGGCAAATTGCTGAACCTCCTCCTCTCTCCTCAGCCACGTTTTAGTTTAACATTCCACAGCTGTTCTTCATGTGGCTGCTGGGCACTGGGGTTAAAGCAGATTTCAGATGTGCTGTCGACACCTTGCCCTCTGCCTTTTTCTCTTTCTTATCGCAACTCCTCGGGGACCTTAAGATTTTCAGTGTTTCAAACAGTTTCTTTAAAAGTCTTGGTGCCTATATGAGAGCAGGAAAATGTGTTCATTTTATGGGCGGAGTAAATGAAATTTCACTCTGATGTGACCTTTGCTTGGATTTTTTTTTCTTGGAGGGAAGCAGAGTGGTCATTTTCCATCTCCAGAGTCCTGCATCTACATTCATAGCACACATGCTGGGATAGCTGGCTCAGCTGATCTGTTCACCATCTCCTCACAAGGTGTCTGACAGTGATCATCTACTTTATCCCCTTCACAGTACAGCTGTGAGATGAAATTCTAGCAGAAACTAAATTTTACAGCACCAACAAAGTAGCATCAAGCTGGCCTGTAGCAGAGCACCAACTTTTATAGGTCCCTCACACAGGGATCAAACCTGCAAGTGGAGCATCTTTGTTGTCCAAACTCACAGTCACATTAGCCAGAATTTCAAAATAATTGAAAATTTGATGCTGCAAGACAATTTTTTCCCCTAGGAGTACACATCTTACAGTTTTTGCATAGGTCTTACTGAAGTGCAGACATGCCGAAAATGTTATTAATTTTTCAGTGAAACAGATCTCACTTCTGCTACAAGTACCATCCTTGGCCCAGAAAAAAAACCTCTCAGAAAGATGAACTACTTCCTATTTCACTGTCAGACATACAATGAGAAAAAAAAAAGTCCAAATGCCAACACAATGCAGACAATGCAGTGAGACGTGCTATGTAGCTTGAGGTGAAAGAAAGGGGCTTTGGAGTCCTTTTTCCTGTAAGCTGCTGTATCCCACTTAGCGAGTAAATGGATTTCTGGCCAAAGCCATTGTCATCACTGAGCCC